AATGACTTTGATGGAATAATTGCATTGTATTTGTAAACTTTTATTAAAGAGCAATCCCCGGTGTCAAAAATCAAAGAATTCAATGTTCAAGGAAACCGCTGACACCGAGACAATATGTATTTCCAAATTGTCTTTTAATTATCACAAATTGTTCCTTCTACATCTTTTGTTAAAATCCCCGATTTGGTACATTTACCTTGAAAAATATTCAATAAATTTTCTCCCTCCTGTTGAGACAAGAATTCAATTCTCTGATAAAATGAAACTGAATGTGAATATATTAACATTATACGTAAATCTTTTAATAAGTGTTAAAGGGTCCATCAGAGTATGGCATCTTACATTTTTTCTGCTTAAATTCTTCTGTCAATAACCTTACACAACAGGTCAGCAACAAATGCTTTTCCATCACTACAGATATTTCAAAGGACATGAATACGACATGCTGCTTTGGATCTTGGAAAGAATTGTATAATATTTTCCTTACATCTGGGTTACTTATAAAATTTGATGAATGAATAGTTTTCATTTCTTAATACACAGATATACCTTTACTACACTTCTTTTGATGGTTAGACTGTGAAACAAGTTCAAGGTCAACCAGAGGTCAAAACTGTTGGATAAAGTTCATAAACAAATGGAAGAATAAAGGGATGAAGGATATAAGGATGAAAGATGAACAAACAAACACAACATATGCCCTGTTACATACATGCAGTAGGACATAATAGAAAAATATGTCCTTTCCTCTTTGTAAGCTAAGGAAAAGCACAAAATGTCTCCAGCAACAGGACAGCTATTCACTAGCTAGCACAATATAGATAATGCTACAAACTAAAAACAAATGGCTATAGTTTAAATTACTTTGGAGTCAAAGAAAACATTTGCAAAACTACAGTACTGCAAAAAATGAAAGAACAACAACAACGAAAACTCTGCCCCTAGAAACACCTCATTAAGACAGAAAACAAAGCCTAAAACCTAAGTGAAAGCATACTATTTGGCCAAATCACCACCATGAATCACAGATATGACATGAACTCACACTCTTTACTCATGAATCACAAGTGTACTAGTACTTTTTCTCTCTGGAGATAGGCCGATACGCAGAGCTCTGATCTGGAATTCCATTCCAAACACCCCCCTGTCTGTGGGCCCCTGTAGCAGTTGGACAATAACAGTCTACAAAGGCCACTTCAGCAGCAGTGCTACCCACTTCATTGTTTTATCTCAGCCATTTATCATCAAATCAGCAAAAATTCAATCATAATTCACCGACATTTTATCATATTATTCAGCATGGCTCACACAATACAACTAGTGATAATATCAATTCCACTTTAAAAACACATTTCAAAGTCTCTTCATTTCAAAGTCTTATGTTCTAAGAAATTCAACAACAGCCAAGATGAGAAAGAAAATCTTCAAGAGTTTAATTACCTATTATCTACTAAATTATCGTCTCTCTTATATAAGATTGTAACAAAAGACAATGGATGTTGTGTGCGGTACTTGAAATAGATTTGATGTATAATCTTTTCTTTACTGATCTAAAATAGAAACAACACCCTTTGTTCCTCAACAAAATAAAATCTGTAGATTAAAACTTGAAGATATATTACCACTATCTATATCATCTAACATAGACAATACACATTTACTGGGAAAAACGATATTTTTTGTAAATAAATGACTTTAATGCAAATCCATCAATATGGATATCATAACATCTGTATAATTTCTTTTGTAAATCTGATTAAAATAGAAAATTCAATCATAATGTACTGGTACCATATGGAACACTAATGTACAAAATAAATCTACATCCTTAGACAAAATACTAATGCAGAGCATTAAAAGTGCATCCTCGTTTCTTTATACACACAGAAAAAAACCCATTCATGCCTCTGATCTATCATAACATGCATTTGATGGTTCATCAACAAACAAGAAAATCTCAGTGAGCAGGATTTGAGGGTGCACCATGACAACTGATGAGAGGGGTGTTTTTTTCTGTAACAAGTTATCCTAATTAATGGCTTTCTTTATCCTGTGACATTGACCATTGCACAATCCCGAGCCTCCATCACCCACATAAATTCCATCAAAAACTGACACATAAAGTTATGAAGGCAGAAACGTGGGGACATCTGCAAGCTAACAATGTGAAAGATACACTTGCTCTTCAACATCCCTATCTGGAGGATCAAGATTGTATTTCTGATAGATCAAAATTTACAATGCCATAGGTTTTCAGGATATTTCAGCGTTAAACAAACAAACTTCAAAAGCATACAGTAGAGAGTTGCACTCTTTTCATGTCATAATTATTTTTTTTGAAAGTTGTTAGTGATAGTTACATGTAACACTGTTCCTACCTTCACACAATGAAGAGTCAAATAATCAACAAAGCTGTAGATTTTCAGGATTTTTCAAAGAATCAAACCTAAGATGTAGTAAAGTAAAGTACTGTGCTCTTTTGGTGAAAGAAATAAAAGCACTAGCTCAAATCTTGTGAAGGAAAATTACAGCATCAATCTGTAATCTTTTTTAAAGTGGTTAGTGGTATGGACTTATAACCACTGTTTCTACCTCCATGCAATGGAGAGTCAAATGAGATGAAATTTTTGTTATTGCATATAACAGTTAAAATTTTGTTTTTCTTCATTTTAAAACTTGACAGTGATATTCCTTTAAAATCATAAATTTTTTCTTAAAATAACATATTTTTGAAAAAAAAAATTTAGACTTACAAACTAACTGGAAGACCTACCAGGATAAAAGTTCTTCTAAGAGGTTCATTCATTAGATAAAATATATATAAAAATCACATCTCACGTTATTTAGAAATTGACCAATTCTCAATATTTAATCTTAAATACACATGCATCAATGCTTAATATTTAATGTACATACATCCGGTATTTCTTTTGAATACAATTTAATTTTTCTATTTATTCGGCCATACTTTCCAGTTTGAAATTGATTTAGGAGACATAAACAAAAATATTTTGAAAACCTGAGTCATTTGATTAACAAATCTTAATGTATAAAGAGAAATGCATTTTATATCTCTATCAATAAACTTGTCTATCTCTCCCTGGAAATTTTAATACGATAAATGCATTTATCTTATTGTTGATAAGCATATTTTAACTAACTGATTTAGAAGTTAAAGGCCCTTTTATTCATTCCCACAACAGATATCAAAATTAGTCATAAATTCAAGTGCTTAGATTAAGTTACATTTATTCATAATTGTATTATCAATGAGCTTTTTAGAAGAAATATTTATTTGACAGTTAAACTTTTTTATACTAACAAAGCCATGTTTTATGTAGATTTGCATTAAACCACATCTCTCTTACATGATTTCTAAGAGACATCTAAAAACAAATCTTTCTTTTTCAGTCAAATGTTTGTTCACCCTAAAACAAATCTGCCTGGGAATGATTTTCATAAAAATGTTTTTGAACCATAAATTGTACAATATTATAAAACAGCTGGAATGGAATTTTTCTTTTTTTTCAAATATTTTCAAAGTTCCTCCTTTTTTTGATTTGAGAAAATGGTCTTTGATGCACTGTATTGAGCAAAAAAAAGTTTCTAAGAATTTGGGCATTTAACACTTTACAAGTACACATTGAAGTCTCAATTAAAATGAATGAAGATTTCTGAATGATTTTCATACTAAAAACTTCACACTCTAACGCCTCAACATATATTGTGCCATGATTCACTTCAACACCCCCCAAAAAACATGAAACAGAAGCCTTAATTCACAAAATCAGAATTATCAGATTGAATAAATATTGACGGTGATAACTTCCATTTCTTGAGAGATTGTGAAAGTCGTAGGCATTTCTACATCTGTATCACGTACGCTTCACTGACTGAACCAGGGAATGAAACAGCGGAAAACAATAAATAGTACCCTAATCTTGAAAAAAAAATCCAATATTTCAAATCAAAATTAGTAAAAAGGGTAAGGTTTTCAGGTGCACCTTTTTGTTTGAGATTTGATAAATTTTGACAAAAGACATTGGTCTAAATCTCAGTAATCTATTGTTAGCCAATTTTGATGATAAATCACCCAATCCCACACCATACAGTGTATATCCTATATGGGTCAATTATAAACCCTCCACAAAGGATCACGGCTACTTGTCTAGGCATTTCAAACATTTTAAATTTATTATTCAGTAAATATACATATTGTAAAAACATGAGGTATTATTTTCAACATACTGAGTTAATTATTCTCAGTTTAATGCTTTTTTTTTTTAATCACATCTGTTTTAACTTCAACAGGTCCAGTCGAAAGACTATTTCTACCTACGTAACTATTAATAGCTACATAGGTATTTAAACCCACTTAAAGTAGCTACTTTTTGTATTATCTGCATTTTGTGACCAAAACACCGAATGGCGCAACATGGTGAATGCCATATATTTTGACACAGTCACACTAATGCTGAATACAATGAAATTTTTGCCAAAAAATGATTACTTCCTAAATCTTCAATTTTACATTACATGTACTAGTAGTTTCTATGCAAAATTGTTAATTTACAAAGTAATCATTTTGTTGAGAAGTCAAGATGTGCTTGTGAAACACTATAATGATTCACCCCCGCTAAACCGGGGGTCATGATTTGAACAAACCTGAGGATGTTTTTCCACATAACTTTCAACTTTCCTGGAACAGTGATTCTTGAGAAGAAGATTTTTAAAATATGCCACTAAATTTTCACTATTTCTAAATTATCTCCCCTTGAATTAGGGCATGGCCCTTCATTTGAACAAACTTGAATCCCCTTCTCCAAAGGATGCTTTGTGGCAAGTTTAGTTAAAACTGGCCCAGTGAGTCTTGAGAAGAAGTCAAAAATGTGATAAGTTTACATACAGACAGATGGACAGACTGACAGATGGTCTACAGACAAAATGATCAGCAGAAAAGCTCACTTGAGGTTTCAGCTCAGGTGAGCTAACAAGTCAATGTATCAAAAGACAACTGTTTTGACCTAGCCTCATGGTTCAGGTTAGCTAAAAACTACTAAATATAAATCATGTATTAAATCTTGTAATATTAATGTTGTGTGTTTATCTTGAAGAGTCACTTGATACCATACTTACAGACTGTGACCAGGCTCTCATTCTTCAGTCACTACCATCATCTCCTCCAATCAATCTGAGCTTCCTCCATTAACTGTGGTGGTGACTTCCTCCATTGGTTGAGGTGGTGGCTTCCTTCACTGGCTGGAGTGGTACCAGCATAACCTAAAAACAACACAATACTCTAAGAGATAAAATATTATTCAATTATATATATATATATGAATGCTCATGTTGAAGAATATACCATATACCTTATTTTCCGCTAATCAGAAGTTTTCCAAAAATATGCCGAAACAGTTAACAATTTATCCACTTTAACCTTGGCCATAACTTTAGAAGTTGTTGCTAGAGCTTTTATATTTAAATGTGTACTAATCATACTAAGCCCTTTTCAATGGTATAACCTTTTTTGATCTTTTGACCTTGACCTTAGAGTTTGACCTTTTCTTTTAACCTTGGCCATAACTTAACTTTTGAACAGTCAGTACTTGGTCCTCATATTTCACAAGATTATTCCTTGTTGCAAGACCTTCCTTTGGATACCAACAATTTTGATCTTTTGACCCTTCTGCTGCATACCAATAATGATTTTGAACTTTTGGCCTTGACCTTGGGGTTTGATTTAGTTTGAGAAAGTGATACTCAGTATTAACCTTGACCATAAATGAATGGTTGTTGTTTGGGTTATCATATTTACAAGGTATATTCATTGATAGAAGTCATTCCTTAGGTAACAACATTTAGATCTCTTGACCTTGACTAGGAGTTTGACTTAATTGCATTTAGGAAACTTCAACCTTTACCATAAGTGCTACATCAGTGTTTCACAAATACATCTTGTTTTTTTATCTAAAAAATGATAGCAATGAAAGCAAAATTGGATTACACTGTATTGCAAAAATAACTTGTTATACAGTCATCCCATTATGCCAATTTAATTATTTCAAATACTGAGACCAAAATAATTTTTCTTTTTGAATCTGTTTTTTTAACTTGCATGTATAACAAAGGTGCATCAATACCAAATATTTTTTTTTTAATAAATAATTGATTTTGTCAATGAACTTTACATACATACAGTAATTATTCACTTGTATACAGAAACATTTTGAATTCATGATTCCTTGACAACCTGAGTAAACTAAGTCCTGCCCAATGAAATTCTTTCTATCTGTCTGACGTAGTTTACAGATGCTGAATCTTATATTGGCATAAAAGGAGAGACAATCAGAAAATTAAATCTGACTCCCTTTTATTTCATTCTGTTTGATTGGCTAATAGTATTTTTGTATGACATCACTGAAGAAGATAATGCCCAATCTTCACACAGAGAAACAATTCATACTATCCGCGACCTTGTCAATTATGTACTAATTTGTCATTACAATAAACAGATACCCATATGGTACATCCTATTGACCAAATAATTATAGACCCAAATTTCTCATCACAAAAGACAGACCTTCACACCTCTAACATAAAAAGAAATCGGCAGCATTCGGGGTTATACCAACAATGCCACCATTTTTTTCTTCCATAAATTAGAAAAAAAATATCTTGATATCGATGTTATCTTTTTTTCTTAAAGTATCAGAAGTAGGCCTCAAGTCCCTTGGTTCTCCTTGTTATAAGCTGGACTTTCCTCACGAGTGGGTACAATGGAGGTTCCAATTGCAAAAGCGGAGAGGACGTGGATTTTAATGGCCAGTTTGGGTAATTTAAGATCCAATTATGTAACAAGAATCACACAATTACATTTTTAATTAAAGCAATGCTTCAGATCTCAGGCCAGACAAACTTCTCCCTACACAATGCTTCTATCACATAAGAAGCTTCTCAAATTTAATTGAATTACAAATATTTTTTAAAGAGAATTTCAAAAGAAATCAGCTGAAGGTCTATTCCTCCCCATATTATTACTTAACAATTGTAAGCAACATGTGTTCAAGCATCTAAATCTGATAAGTAAAAATTTCAAATAAGACATTATCATTTGAAGAACTGCTTTAATAAATAAAATTCAATTTTAACTTAAAAAAAATCTTCCTCTCTTTGTAGACAAGATACAAGGATAAAATTCTAAAGCAATTAGAAATCTCACTTCAAGTACAATATTAATTATCAGGAAAAAAAACTACAAGAGTATACACAAATCAAACATCTGCATTCCAGTCCTAAGGCATAGTCAAGTGTTTTATATAATATCATTACGATTGTAATTCTAATTTATTCCATTTATTATTAAGAATAGATGAGAAGGGTATGATTATTTCCCGATAGAGTTCTGGGTTTTGTGAATTGCACAAAGCAATTTGTCTGTCTCTTAATTGGAATAGAACATATTGGAATGGAAAAAAATTCAAGAGATGATTTTTGAAAGTTTCTTCAGGCATCAATACATCAGTTGCTAGGATAATTTTTCCCCTACTGCTTTCATAAAATGTAGCAGTTCATGTTAATACCACCCTCCCCCTTTCCCTAATAATTTGCTTCTGTCAACCCCAAATTCAGATTTACAAATAAATTCATTCACCTTTAGGAAAAGCATCAAAAAGTAGGTAAATTTGATGTATTCTTATTAAACAAGGCCTAGGTCAATAACAACTATCCTTGACCTTCAAAACACTAAAGGTCACATCTCCTACAGACATACTGATACATGTACCGGTATATATATATATATATATATATATATGAGCTACTTTATGTCTACTCTAGCAGACCTCTATAATTAAATGTATATAAATTGATACAGGTAATTAAAACCTGCATTCTAGGTTCAGGAAGTACAGGAACAACTGTTGTTTCCTGTTTAGGGTATCAGATAAGACAACAGATGCTAACCGTGTGATCGGGACCCGATATTCTCCTCTGTTCTCTGCGCCGACCCACCGAGCTACAGTGTCAAGTTCGGGAAATTTCAGTCTTCCGCTCCCCTCTAAAACAGTCGGAAATACAAATTAACGAGTAGGATAAAACAAAACCTGTCAAAATCCCCAATGGCTTTCTTTTGGGTTTGTAGTGCTTTGTTAATGATAAAGAATAAATTAAGACATCTATATGGATATGAGCTCATTAAGTTTAGACAGATGTTGGAGATGGGGATTTGAATTGGCTGTTATGCCTAACAATTCCACATCGGAGATGCAAGATTTCTTCTTATCAAAAAATGAAGAGGAAAAAATCAAACAAAAATTCTTTGCAGAAGACTATATATTTCTTATCACAACACATAATAAGTTGTAATCAAATCGGTAGGATGAACAGGTGATTTTTTGTGAATGCAATGCTTCCATCCTGAGATAAGGAAAATCAACAATTATCAACAAAAATATACATAAATAAAATTAAACAAACAGATGTTCAGGAGTGTCCGAGTTAGATATTATCATAAAACTGTAACCAGTGAAAATAATAGGGTGAAAACACCTTATTCTCTCTGTATCGCTGATTGTGAAAATATTCGTTTCTATGCCACTGATTGCGGAAACACTCCACCCTTAAATTGTTGGATCATCACAAGTGGCCTTCAGCATAAATGTTCCTAGCCCCAGTGAAAAGAAAGATGTTCTCCATTATCTCAAATTGTACTATAAATTTTTGCCATATTTCCTCAAATTTTGTAATGCAAAATTAAAAAAAAATCTTTTATAATTCAACACAATTTCATGGCTCTGGGTTTCATAATTCAATAATTATTTTAAATAATTAAGGGATTTTGCAAAATAAAAAAAAAATAAATTTTTGCCATATTTCCTCAAATTTTGTAATGCAAAATTGTGTCAAAAAAAAACTCCATCCAAGTCCTTATAGTCAGTGAAAGATATTGTCAGAATGTTAGTGTTCCACACAATTTCTGGATGTTAAGCTCTTTGAGTAGCATTTATGCTAGTATATAAATCAATAATTATTTTAATATAATACAAGCAGACATTAAACAACACAATCAATCAATAAATCAAACTGAGGTTATGATGGCAGCCATCTTGGATTTCAAAATTTAAAACTTTTCTTCTTTTGAAATAAAGGAATAGAAGGTATAAGGTGGTTTTACTCTAGAAAAATATTCTGCTTTTATTGCTCATAACAAATTTGGGAAAAATCTAAGAATATGTTTATCAGTATTATGTCATATTGACTCCCATATGGATTCCAATTCAAAAAGATATCAATTTTATATATGTATACATTTCTAAAAATACAAATTGCAAATAAAATTTACATATTCAGAGTTATGATCTCTGGGTTTTAAAGCAGTTAATTATTATACTATGAAAATTCAAGCTTATGAAGCATATCAGCTGAGCATGACAATACACAAGAGATTTTCATGAATAAATTTTTGGTCAAATGTCATTGAATAGATTTCAGCCAATCAAAGGAAAGACACAAATGTTAAAAGCAGAGTCTTTCTGGATGATTTTGTAAGTGTGCAAATAAATGAGAAAAAGATTGTTATAAAAACAACCAAAAAACAGTTATATAACTTTAAAAATAGAATTTGAAAATAACAAAAATTTTGCATCAATAAATTTTTTGAATAAATGTCATTAATTCTTCTAGGTAAATTAATCACAATTATTTGACTTCAACAATAGGCCAGCCCACGGGATACCAAAAACATTCCAAATGGTGGAAAAATGAACAATTATCTGAAAGATCACGTGTACTAAATCAAAGTGTTGTCTATCAGTTTGAATGCTAGAAATGGATTATAAACTCAAGACAGCTGACACTCAATATAAAGCCTTATATTATGAAAATTATAAATAATTCCTTTTTAATGGCCAAATATTCAATATAGTGTTAATTGTGGATATCACCTGTTTTTTAAAAGATTTGACAGTTGTAGGTATTTCACTGGCCTCAAGTGTGAAAATTAAACTGAATATGTAAAGGACTTTTAAACGATTTCAATTCATTAGTTGCACAAAATAAGTTAATGATGAAATTGACGACATAATTCAAATTGAACAAGAGACAACAAAGCTGTCTTGCCGTCGCAAAAATTTATCAGGCTCCAGGCCGAACTCTTTTGTGTTACATCCTTGTAAAAATACAAAAAAAAGGAGCCCAGAGCCTCAAGATTGATGGTCGTATAAAGCAGTTTGTTCCTAGACCTTGTTTGTCCCACAAAAGGCAATATGAAAATAGAAATACATTCTATTTTAATAGTTCTGTTCTTTTGTTCCCCATATTAAGGCTTGTGCTTTAGTTTGCAGCCGTAAAGTGCCACTGCATTGTCCCTGCATTGAACCCATCACACAGATGTGAGCAAAATAATGTTTGATATACATTTTGATCAAAATGTGCTTAAAGACCAGGGAACAAAACCCAAATATTTAATAGAAACCAGATGACAGTCATAAAGACGATATTATGCAAGCCAGTCAATATACTGAGACAATGCAGTGAGCATTAGTGCATGATTGATGATTTCTGCATTCAAACCCTCATCATACAAAATTTTAAGATGTCAATATTTATGACTCTTAATACATTTATCACTGCTTTCCAGAAATTTTTAATCACCAGATATTTAATGTCCTATATGTTTAAAGTTAGGAAAGGAAGTGCTTTCAGGGACTTTTAACAAAGCTAATTTATTTCACTAATTTAAGCACCTATTAAATTTCTCACAATTACATGTTTTGCTACCTTACCAAGGTAATATAATGGGTTTTTCATAACAGTGTGACAAAAAGCAATTTACTTTGTTAAAAGTTTTTTTCCCCGTTGTAGGAGTCGAAATAAAGACAAAATTATGAAGATGTTACATAATTAAAGTCAATTTTCATTATCAAGGTAAAACTACACTATAACAGTCAAGACTTCTTTTGTCATTGCAAAAAATGGTCGTGTTAAAATGTATGTCTAACTGGGTAAATTAAGAGTAACAAAAAGAGAATAAGGGGGCATGAAGAAGAAAGAAATGCTTGTGTATCTGATGTCCTGATAAAAACGTGTTGATAAGTGATATCAAAATCTGTTGACAAGATAAACTTGATCCGCATAAACACATCTCTTATTGTATGTTACAATTGCGATATCCATTGTTGTTCCCAGAGGGAAATAATTGGGTGCAGTTTTTGGCAATTTTCTTCTTTTCAACCAGTTTTTGTCCCACTGTAAATTGTCACAGAAGATGAAACCCCGATTTCAAATGACAGAAGAATAGCTGGGTCAGTCAGTGACTAGTGCATGAATCTGATGCTATTGTCTTTTTCCATGGGAAAAACATCAAAAAGATCCATGTTTCTGGGTACAAAATCATTAAGATACCAAATTCTCTACCCAGAAAATCGTAAATATTACACCAACAGCATGATCATTTTAGTTGAATTTGTAAGTCTGAGCAAATATTGATTTTAAATGTCTCATTATCAAATGTAACTGATATTTCTCCTGTCTGTAATTAAATAATTTCTTCACATTACAATGAAGACAATTTGTTATCTAAGGCATGTCACATAAAAAATTGGAATTATGAAATTCCGTGGAATTCAAGGTTAGTGTTTGAGCAATCATCTTTAAACCCCCCCCCCCCCCCCCAAAAAAATTAAATTGACAATATATATACCATTCTCATATAATCAGTAGGCCCATGGATCACAATGCTAACCTGATTGTCCTTTGCCCTACTGGTTTTTTTTTTATATCAGAACTGAAGCCCCACCTAACCCTTACTATGGTAAATTTCATCTTTCCTGGTCCAATGGTTATTTATTAGAATATTTTTTAAAAGAAGACAACCACTTAATTTTGACCTTTATTTGATTACAAAAGGGCCCTTGATTTGAACATATTACCTGAAAATGCTTGTGGCATTTAGTTTTATTATACTTTCATGTTAAATACTAAAATCTGATTAGTTTAGACGCAGTTAACAATCCGTTCGATTACCCTGAGCCTTAGCAACACACGTGACAAGGGGTAACACAACGGTAATGCCACATGCGTGGAAATTATGCGCGTACAGTTCAGAGAGGTTCTCAAAACGTAACAGACCGGAATTAACTTGACGTCAATAAAAGCTTGCGTCCGATAAAGCTTACTTGAAAACAACAAACGACAGATGATAAATGCTTGCGAGTGTAGGAAACATGCTTGCGAGCCAGAAATAACGAAGCTTTATATGATAAATGACTCTAATTCGAGTATCAAACAAACAATAAGGAGATTAGTGAACCGGTGAGTGTGAAATCTTTCTATACATGAACGTAAAGACGATCGACGGTTTTTTTTTTGCTGACGTCCTTAATCAATAAGACATTCAGTATAATAAAATAAATGGTGCCTGTTTTGGAGGGTAACATTTGAAATTGACACCCCTCGGAAAACCATTGTCAACCTCCGCTGACGCGTCGGTTGACAATGGTTTTCCTTGGGGTGTCAATTTCAAATGTTACCCTCCAAAACAGGCACCATTTATATAATATTTGTCTAGTGGTTCTGGAAGAGTTGAAAATGAGAGAAGTAATAACAGACAGACAAAATTAGTTATAAACAGAGAGACAAGGGGTGGCAGATAACAAGAAAAGCTCACTTCAACTTTTTGTTCAGGTGAGCTAAAAAGCACAAAAACTTTGCAAACATACTAAAAATTCTTTTTTAAAAATATTGCAAAATTAGTTCTAGATTTCTTCCATTTTACATAACATAGGAACATTCAGCTAAAAAAAAAAGTTTATTGACCATAATTGTGTATATTAATTAATGCATGTATATTAATTTAATCAATTCCTAAAATAAACAATTTGAAGTTAAATTTTATAAGGTTGATTATTTGGGTATATTACTCCATTAGCAATCATATGTTCCATTCTTCATGAACTAATTAAACATAATCCAATGTTAGCTCAGAATTAAAATAAACATGTCAATATTGACTCAGGACAGCAGTTGAAAAGAGACATTGAAAAAAATGAAATTTAGAACTTGTTTGGGGGGAAAAGCCCATTCTCTTTCTATTGCCAGACAATACTCAAGGAAATCATTTCAACTCTCTCTTCAAACCTTAATTATATTCCTAATAAAAATATGTCTGTATAATTTCCTTTCAGTATTAATATCAACAGATAATGCATCCTTTTATTGCAATCATGTTTTCAACTTAGTTTCAAGAACTTCATTGCACCCTCCCACAGCCAAAAAACCCAAGCTTTTTCGGGGGGTACAATGCACATCTATCGCCCACACTTTTAGACTACATGATCCTTAACACCAAAAAACTTAATTAAGAAGTTTGCCACCTGTTCTTGTAAATGAAGAAAAAATACAAATCTAAATCATATAAATATGGCAAGTGTAAATAAAAAATCTGTGTACCAAATTTCATTTCAGTATGTGCAAAGGTTGTGAAGGAAATTAACAGAAACTTGGTGGACAGACCGATTAACCAACCAACAGACAAACAAACAGCAGCAAACCAATATGCCCTCCCTTCTTCGAAAAGGAGTATCAATATTACATATGTAGTTCCACTCTTCTTATATACTTCATTTATATATATTGACATGTACATATTTACATGTATTCTAGCCGACTTAAGGTTTTGTAAAAATCTTACATTATGAAGTGATCAACTGTCTCTTTGTTGGTATTGAAGACATTATTTTTTGGGGGTCTATTCTTGCACATTTGAACTGAGCTATCTACCAATTGCATCATTCACCACTATCAAATGAACCTCCGCTATATCATTAAACAGATTCATCTACGATGTTTGGCGCCATATTCAGGTGTCACATCAGCACACAATGACTGTCAAAAGGGCCGCTTACCGAAAAACTACAATACAAATCAAAAAAATATTTCTAAATAAGTCTGTACACAAACAAACAACCATAACACCGTCTATTCAATTCATCAAAAGAGTTTTATACTGGACTTAGAATTCCGAGAAGACATTGTGATTAATTTTATTTCCAATGATTATTTTGGTCCCCCTGTAATTCTACCTGGAGATTTAATATTTTTAAAGTCATGCCGGATCTCTGGACTCCTTTTTTCGATACATCTAAGGTGCTGAAGTCAAGGGTAAGAGTGGAAAATTAACCGAAATATGGCTCGAAAATATCGCGACAGTTAGCACCAATGACAATTAGATCGGGGAACAATGCTGGCACTATGATATTAGCGGTGTATATAATTTGTTACCTTTAATTGGCCGGGAGGACAGTGGTATTCCGTTACAGACGCCCTTGGCTAACTTAGACTGGCCCATTCTATGGCGAGAGAAATAAAAGCAAGATTATCAATTATAATGGCCCCACAAATCATTTGATCATTTCTTAAGTTCTTGTCGGAGATACCACATCAGAAGGCAGGGAGATACCAGTCTTTCTTTCTCTTAATTCTCTAAATATTTCCCTTGTTTGATAAATTTTAATGATCTGTTTTAAACTTGGAAGATTGATGACATTGTAGCACTTTCTATTCTTCTGCAGAATGATACTTCGGAGTCATTTTTTTAATCTTATGTTTCATCCCAGACATTTAATTTTTTTGTAGTATCTGGGCCCACAAGACAAATTTAGAAAAAAAAATGCATTTCCGATATTGAACCTACAAAAAAAAAAATACTGGTATTGGTATGTTGCAATTTACTAGTGAATTGATTTAAATAATAAACAAAATATCTGATACAGTGCAATAGATTTAAGATATTTGACATGTATGAAAAACAAACAACTAAAAATGGGTCAAAATACTGTAGATTCCTTATTTTTTGCAAAATGGCTCTTTCATGACAAATTGCGAGAATAATAATTCGCAAATGGATGGTTGATCAAGAAAATTAATATGGAATTCAGCATCAACAAAATTAAAGCGAGAAATATAATTTCGTGAACGATGCTTCTTGGGAAATTACACAATAATCCTCACGTATAATTAGGAATCTACAGTAATGGAAGGTAACAAAACTTGAAAAGTCTAGCTACTAGTATAATAACAGATTTCTTAAAGTTTTTCACCCACAAAAAAATTGTCAGAACAAAAGTGAGCATAAGTATTTGATATAATGTACTAGGCTCACACCATAATACAGAATTGTTCTGATCTCTAAGTAATATATCACAATAGCTATATAGAAAACCCTTTTTTAAGCATGAATTTCAAACAAAATCTGATTTATAATTTTACCCATGCATCAATGGACAGTGCATTGCACCAGCTCGAGTTTTGAGTCTTGATCGTCTTCTGTTGAGGTGGAATAGAGATGAGACTACAATGGTCCTCAAATAATGCATGATATAGAAACCTGTAATAGCAACAGAACAAAGTGTACTCTCCAAGCATTGTCTGAAAAGTGCAAGAATTGAAAAATCCATCATCTCATAGAATGATGAAGTGCTTTTAGCCGATTTACTCATGATAACTAAATTTCTGCTCAAATCTAAAGTTTAATTAAAAATGGACAAAAGATTTTGCTTGAGAAAGAGGTATATGTATGGAGGTGACAATAGCTAAATCCTGACCAAGGATAATAGAGGAGGCTTTTGTCATGTTCATCCTTCATAAAACTTGGACTGGAAGAATACAAGCAAAATTTAATGTCGTAAACTCAAGGTTAAGAATAGAATAGATATTACAGAGTATTATCAAGTTTCTTTGTTGTTTTTCAAACATCAAAACCAGGACTGGATGTGAAAAAATGATTGATAACTGAGTTTTGAATACGTTAGTAGGATAAAGAAAAACTCATTTTCTAAATCAACAGGATATTACGCATTTTTGATCATTGTCCTCAACTCCGAATAGTTTGAAAATAATCTCAAAGGTTGGTTACGCAGCTCAACGTCCAAAACCGACTTAATACCTTACATCAATTGAAGACCATGCTAAGATAAGACACTTTGTCCGACAAATCTAAAACTGCGGCCATTATTCACACATCACACAAAAATGAAATAGCTGTTCTTTTGTTCAAATTTTGATGAGTTTTAAGCAATGATATTATTTTCGTTTCTTTTGATGTTTTTGTGCTCAATTCACTCAACAATTTTATTTTTCAATAAAATGAAACACATATTGTTCCGTCCATCTCTATTGTAAAATATAAAACACGGATTTAAAACATCTTAGCTTCATGTCGTTTGTTTGCCTTAATGGAAGTTATGAATACATTCAATCAAAACCATTAAACTCAGCTAAATTGTGTACAAGAAAAAGACATTCTGCTTTGAATCACTGCGTTCCAACATTAAAAATGATAGCTAACAAAGTTTTAATTTTATTTTCACAATACACATCTTTGAACAATAAATACAGCATTAACATGATATAATTGCATGTTTTTATTGCTAAACGTGACAGAATTAATGCATTCACCCCCTACTGTATCGCAGCATATTTGTCATATTTCATCTCCTTTAAAAGCTATTGGGATATAATTAAAAGTTTGTAATGTAAACAATTAGAACAATTAAAGTTTATGAAAATAGCTATAAAGATATGGGATTCTTCAAACAAAAGGGTTATAATGCAGATCCAATTATTTACTCTAGTTGGAATTCTGTTGCTAGTAGTGCATGATTAAGCATTTTAGAGAAGCCCTATTTATTTAATTCATTATCAAAATGCATGTTACATCAGTGTTGAGTAGTTGCTAAGAAAACTGAAGAAAAATTGTTATACATGTATATGGTACAAACAGACACACAGATAAACAGAAAGTTGATAAATCCCACTATATGGCATGCCTCAGCAAAGAATGTGCTAAAATTTCAAACATCTGCGATGAGTAGTTGCTGAGAAAACTGCGACCAAAAATTTGTTATGGACAGACACACAGCTAGACAGACAGACAGACAAACAAGGGTAAAACAGTATTCCCCCCTCTCCTTGGAGTGGGGGTATAATTAAAAGCACTTTACATGTTGTAAATTTGTTTAATAACTCATGTTTTCTCTATAAGATTGTAGAATCTTTGATTATAGGGGCATAAAAAATAGTCATTCAATGCATAGGATCAAGGCAGCTTTCTTTCAAATTCTAGCTGATAATATACAATTAAGAATTTGATAGATCACTTCTTGGTTTTAAAACATAAATTTCTGTTTATAATCATACCAAAATTAATAGATTATTCTGTCTAATAATCTACAGCTTAATGTGCAGTATAACTTCCAAGACCTCTAATTTTTAGAAGAAAGAAACTCACAATCTTGCTTTAAGTTTCATTTTTAAGGATTAGTAAAGCTAAACTTATAGTGAAATTAACATTATCATTTTCATCTTGTTTCACAGCTGGATAAAACCACACATTAATCAGAAAGTCAATAATTACATAACACAGTTTAATTCATAATTTTTGTTGATCAAGTCCCATTTTATCATTGATTTTGATAAGTAATATGTGTGTGTAAACAATTTATCAACCTCCCCCTGTGTACATTGTGTTCTCTACAATGAACAAGCCTGGGTGACAAAAGAAATACATGTGCGTACATGTCATTGGACCCCACAAGTCAACAAATCAAGCAAAGCATCCTTGTACATGTAACCTTATAATCAGGCACAATGGATAAAAACAACAAGGATTATGTCACATAAATTCCATCAAGATTCAAAAGTCCATTTTTAACTGTACCTTTATGAGCATATTATCTCATTGTTCATTTTATGTATACATGATTCTAGATGAACAACTTAATTTTGTCATCATATAGTTTTTGCCCTCTCCGTCTGTTTGTGTGTTTGTTCAAAAAAAATTTAACCTTCCCCATAACTTTTGAGTGGGTGGGACTATGGCTTTCATATTTCATAGGTGTATTCTTTGTGCCTTTTTTTTTAGAAACCACCAAATTTGACCTCTTAACCTTGACCTTAGAGTTTGGCCCACTTTTAAGAAAATTACAACTTCAAACTTGGCTTTTGAACAAAAAGCACTATGGCTTTCATTTTTCACAGTTGTTACAATTGCTTATGACAGGACCTTCCTTTTGAAACTAACAATTTTGACTTTTAGACTTTGACCTTGGGGGATGACTTGTACAAGTATTTGAAAAACTTCAACCATCACCATAAGCTGCCACACAGAGGCATCAGCATATCACAAACACATGTTCTGTTTTGTGTGTGGTTTCCAAGCATTAAGTAAATTAAATTATGTATAATAAAACGAGGAAAAACAAGACAACACTACGATTTAAACTTCAAAACAAAAACAATATCACTTGCTTGAATGGATTATCCACCGGCATAACTTTGGATTACATAAATTATATGCAATATCTCAGAAATCTACATCCAGAGAGCTAGACCAGTCAAAAAATAAATAACAACCCTAAAATCTATTTATTTTATACAGTAAAACTCGGTTATAACGAAATCCTAGGGACCTGTGAATTTAATTCGCTATATCCGTAATTCGTTATAACCGTATAACGAATTCGTAAAACCATATAAAGCGAATTCGCAATATGCAGGTTTTCCTTCAGGTATTACTACCAAATATGTTAGGGAAGCAAATATTACAAAACATACCTTCGATAACTAAGGTTTTATTGTGAATTGAATTATATATACAATTCCATGAACAAAAATAAGTCAGTTTAATTTATCAAATTATGAGATCTTTGAAAGTTCGTTATAACAGATGTAAATTTCATTATATTTAACTTCAACGGGACCCAAAATCAGTTCGCTATATCCGTAAATTCGTTATATAAGAGTTTGTTATAACCATAAAATTTTACAAGGATTTGTTAAGAATTTTGCCGGGGACCCAGAAAAACTTCGCTATATCCGTGAATTCACTATATGCGTGTTTGTACTAAACGAGTTTTACTGTATTCATGAAGTACATGTATACTTGAATTACAGTACCAAACTAGATGAATATTATACATCCACACTTTATCCAAAAATGAAAAAAAAATCTAATAAATTTTCTTTGGTACAAGTACCCCAGGTTCCTCCCCTCAATTAAACCCCTCTCATCATAAGTAAATGTGAAAATTTATATTCTAGGAAGGGACTGCAAAGAAAAGTTGTAATGTGCTGCAATTTCACAATTACCTGTAGTTCTTGCACAGAAATGTAGGGAACTGGAAGTTTCTTCAGACCAGGATGTAATGTAAGAATCTACAAAACAAAATCTTATTTTATGCATTACCTGTTATTATTTAGACTAGGTATACAAACTTAAGTTCAGGACAAAAATCAAGATATTTATTTAAAAGTCATTTTGTTTCTGTATTAAGGAAATACTCAAGGAGTAAAATTAAAAACTGAAGACATATTGCAACTGAAACTATTTACTGTCAATTAGCGCTACATGTAAGATAGCTTATCAAAAACAAACAAAGAAGAAGGACAAAGTGGATCACCTTGCATGATACCTCCTCCTCATTGTCTCTAACAATGATCTTTGTCTTCTGATAGCGATAAGATTAGCAAGAATTAAACTTCCTTTATTGGAAATTTAAGCCCAATTTTTTCATTATCTGAAAATATAGATAAAATTGAGGGTTATATTAATGTATACATCTATATAGCCTTGTTTTATCAATCTCTGTATCATGATCTTGCAAAGCTAACATGTAATGAAGTAAGAATTTGTATTTTTCAGCATCTAAGTAATAAAAATATATACAGTAATGTATTTATTACATGATTTAATGATTTCTAGCTCTCTGGCTGACTGATATTCAACATTTCAGAAATCATAAATGTTGTATTCACCCTTCCTGACTTTCTAAGTAAATATAACATTTGATTTAATTTTCTTTATAGCCAAAAATAAAAGGGAAACTGAACTGACTGTTTCATTAAGTTGTCAAATGAAACCCAGGATCTAGTATTTCCTGCATTCTGTTGGAAATTTAATAGATTTAACAATAAAAAAAAGTGAAATTTGTATTCAACCATTGTATCATAAAATAAAACATTTGTTGCATTTGGCCAATTGGACAATTCCATGTTTTTGCAACCCATAAGTATATGATGGATAAATATTCCTTGGTCAACTGAATAGCTGAATCATTATTTGAAATTGAACCCAGAGTCAATACATTATATAGCTTTAATATATTAATAACACTGGATTCAATCATTTAGAGGAGGGTTCATTATATTGCAGTCAAAATATAATGTAATATATTTTGCAGTATCAAATTTTAAATATTAATTACACTGGGTCACTCCAAAAACAGCACATCAGGTACCAATTAATACATTGTATAACATTTTCAATAATTGAAACATTTCTCCAACACTTTTTCAGATCATTTATTTAAGTTCTTTATTTCCTTAAAAATCTATTACTTTATTACATGTTACACAATTGCAGATGAAATAAAAGTCTGATGTATCGACATTGGTTTCTGATATCTTTACGTGATATATCCTCGTATTTCTTTCCCTCCTGATCCCAAATATCTCTCAGATTGGCATTTAATTTTATGAATACCGACAACAAAATTCCCAAACCTGAAAACGAGCTGTTGCATAATCGAAGATATACAACTTCAATATCTCGATTCGTCTTTTGGTCCTTATATTTATTTTAACCTTTGTCAGTACGGGGAATCAAAGTTTTTCTTGTCCCATCAATTTAAAGTACCAGCATTGTAACGCTGTGAAGTTGCCTCCTCCGTGAAGGAATTATACTGTCAATCACGCATTCATATAATCAGCTATGTACAACCTACCCGGGATATCATCGTACAGAACAACAATGCTATCGTGGCCCCCAGCGTTACACAATGTTCACTGTTTATGCTTCGACATTAAGCCCTGAAGTATTAGAACAACTGATAAAGAAATCAGACCATTTTACAAGAAATTGGTCTAATATCAATGTTTCTTGTTATTTATGTAGAAATTTATCAGTGCAATCCCATTGTGCAAGTTTTGTAGATTTCTAGTGTAATTTTAATCAGGGTAATAAAATATAGATGACAAATGCAGTTTTCAATCCCCCTCCCCTTCCTGTAATATTACCTTAAAAGATATAAGACTATGCATATATATGCAACTAAAATTCTCTTGTTTGCTTAACTTGTGCATGCATTACTTAATCAACAAACATATTGGTATCTATAGAGTGGGTGGCACCTTAAACTTAAATATCTCACCTACAGAGAAAAGCCTGTCTTATTCTGCTGCTCTACTTGGACTGCTCTGTTTGAATAAAAAAAGAAATTTGAATTTCAAAAAAAAAATTCTGCTACCAAAAAATAGATAAATAAACTGGAAACCAAAACACACTAAAAGTTAAAATTATACATATAATCCTCAGGATTGGATTCTGCTTTCATTTTTGACAAAGTTTAAAATTTAAATGCTCAAAGCTATTTCTTCAAATTTCAAAAATATCAAATTTTAAGAATATTAATTCTTAAATGTGGTATATATTTTAACATGTATAATATCGTAGAACATTTCATTATCACGTAAACTTTCACTTCTACAGATGCACTGATGCATACAACATACCATATAAGTAGAAATTTTAGCGAGGATTTAATTTTGGCATTTTTAGCGAGGCTGTTGAGATTGCTAAAATTGAATTTCGTTAAAAATAAATTGCATTTTATTTGTACTAGCTTCTTGAGTGAGCATTTTTAAAATCACTAAAATTACTTCTCGCTAAAAAATACCAGTTTTTAAGGAGAAATCGCTAAATTTGCATCTCGCTAAAATTTCCACTTATACGGTATATTAATCTGCAGACCTTGTAAACTCAAGCTGAGATAAAAGTTTGTTTAGAAGCTGTTAAAATTAACAGTACACAACTGCATTAATTAAACAAAATTATCTCAAGTGCTTTAAAACATGCTTTGCTTCATATACAAACATTATTTGTCTCTCTATTCAGAAACAAATCCAAAATGTTCAGGGGAAACTCAGCTCACCTGTGTAACTTCTGTGGCACCATTTTTCTGTATCTTCCAAACACCTTATCCAGTGAAAGTCCTTCATCAATGAAAGGGTTGACTTATCCTACAAAAAAAAATTATATTCCTTAAAGACCGATGATCAATATGCCAAACTATTTGCAGTTTTGCTGGTCTTTTAAGGAATACATACGATTAAACATGCTTATAGTGAACTTGCTTATAATGAATTGTTGCTTGTAATGTTTACTAAATTCACCCCCGTTTTAAATTAGCCAACCTCCGAGTACAGCGAAAGTGGCAAAAATAAAATGTGCCCTGGAACAAATATTTTCCTGTATAGAGTACTTTGTTAATTATTAAATTAAATTAATTGTTAATTAAATGGATATAACAAATTATGCTCATATATAACAAAGCAAAATTATCCATCCCTGGCACTTCATTATAAGCATGTTTGACTGTATTTTCCATCAAAATAATGATTATATTCTAGTTTTCTTATTGTTCTCCCATTACAGCATTGAGTTAAACTGTATTACAGGTACATGTATCATATTACTGAATATGCACACAGTATAAAGACTGGTAATAATTTTTTTTTAAAAATGCTTTTTAATTTTTGTTAATTATTTTCCATGGGAATTTAATGCTAGGCACTATATCTAAATTAAATTTAACTATTTATTGTCACTTTATAACTGTCTTTAAGTTTGGCTTAAAATGGTAAAGAAATCTTAGAATTTGTTCTAGGAGAAAATGAGCACACACTCCGAATGGTATCAGAAAGATCACTTCTGCTTGTCAACTTGTGAGCTAGATTTAATTTCAGAAACCTGATCAAAAATTCAAGTCAATGTTACCAAATTCAAATTCCATTAATCCAATTTTATGATCTTCAACATGCCATTTGCAATATTTTTTATTTAATGAACAGGAATTCTAAAGTGAAATTTACATACAGATGCTCCTTGTGCAATACAAATGGAACCCAAATTTTTTTTTTCCTCCAAAGAAATAATGCAAAGCAAGGAATGAATAACAAACAACTGATTTCATTACTTTCATAACGAGAAAGAGAGAGCCTGGGTGAGAATACATTAAACCATATTTTTCAATTCCATCTTTCCATGTGGTCTACCTGAGAAAAAGAAAGTTTTCTCATTTGAATTCATCTGATTTCTTTATATTATTTCAATAGAACATTGTTGTGGTCCATTGTCAGAGCTGACAGTGAGCTGGTCTTTTGTAACAATGTTATATCATTTCCCACGAAGCTGAAGAAGTCCCTTCTGTTATTCCACACAATGGTGGACCCCTCCTTGTTATATGCAAGAATTTTCCTTTCCCTGCTAAATAAAGCTCTGTCCAGACCACTCATCCAGAAAACTTGGGAGACACCTGCTATATTATTCAACAGGTGTAAATAATTCCATTTTTTATAAATCTTATAAATCTATATATGCATTTTACAAACATCCAACTTGATTTTGAAAGATTGCACATTTTTCTAAATAAAAAATATCTCCTGACTAAAGGGCTGGGGCATCTGATAAAAAATTAGAAAGCCTTTTGTCAAAGAATGTTCAATTATTATGAGAGGAATTTGAAAATATTATAAAGTTTTTGCCCATGCACATATATACAGATAGACAGACATGCAGTAAACAAGCAATGACCAAGCTCACTAAACGTATGGCTTGTGTAAGCTTATGAATTTAATTATGGATAGAAAAGTTGACATCCTGCATTCTGACAAGCAAGATCTTTAGATTATATCATTCTGACTTTGAAATCAGTGTGATCAATAAAATAAGAACTTTGATAGCTAGAGGAAGAAATAATAATTTTTATTTAATAAAGAATTGAGACAGACCTTGTAACTCTTTATGTGAAATAGAGCATACATTGTGTTAATTAATATGAAATATAAAGTACTGGTTATAATTATAAAGGGATTCTATTTAAATTCTGCCTAAGGAACAGCGTACTTGTCAGTTCATCATTAAAAGAGAGACAACTTTTTAAAAACACATTTTATCATCTTAAACTAGAATTAAAGTTCTTGATGATTGCATGTTGAAAGGCAGTTCGAAAAATCTGACTGTTTTCCAGGCTTTTTTCACAATTTTGATTTACTTGCCAGGAAAATGTCTGAACCAAGGCCATTACGAAAACTGTGAATTTGGCATTTTCGGTCAATTTTCGATACTTGAAAACTAAATTTAATGTCAAATTTACGATAGTACATGTAGAATAGTTCTAGTAATCATCAACATCATTTTTATGGTTCATTTATAAAATATGCAATATGATGAAAACATTTTTATCTGACTGTCATGATTTGCTTTGGCATATAAAATTAAAAAGTCAGGAAAACGCATACATCAGATATTTTATGACTAGCTGAAAGCATGGAAACTGAATGGTGTCATAACCGGACAGGGGATAGCTTGCAAATGGGAGGGGGGGTTAACAATGACCAATGACCAATGACCCTTCCCCACTTTTTTGCAAATTTAGACATATTATCATTTTACAAACAGCGTGACAGTTTTCTTGATGGGGCATGCTAAAAGTTTTTGTGCTGGTTATCATTTTACTCATC